GTTTTACAACACCTAGTTTCTGGTGTTTTTCATTTAAATATTCAGAAGTTATTATTGTTAGTTTCATGTTAGGGTGTTTAAGACTCCTTTTAACAATTGCCTTCACAAAAGGAAAGACATTTGGTGGATGTGTTTGAAGAGTGGGTGGGAAACAGAAGCATCTCACTGAAGTGTTAGAGTGGTGAAATGAAAGAATGAAAGGTTCTCACTTTACGATATATTTGCTGGCATACTACTTAGTATATCTTTGTTTTGGTGTCCGACCTGTGCCCCATGATTTTGGACATGGTTATTATTAACAGAAGGTTACTTCATTTCACATCCTTGTCTAAACACTCTATAGCACTCAGGACAAATTGTTACTCAAATGGCTGTTACTCTCCTTCTCTTTTCTAAAAACACACAGCATCGCTTCTGCTGCACCTGGTGACCCTCCTTATGAACCTGACACAAACACACACACACACTATTTAGTTTCTCAGATATTTACATAAATACACAAACACACACACACAGGTACACAAACACACACAAAAACAAATACAGGTTAGATAGTTTTTCTTCTTGTCCAGCCCAGAAACCTCCGTAAAAACCCTGGAAAACTGGATTTACACACATACACACACACACACACACACACACACACACACACACACACACACACATACACACATAGTGTTGGGGTCAGAGGTGTTGCCTGAGTAGTGTGCACAGTAAGGTTAGGAGGTAGAGTTCAGTCTGGTGACAGGTGAAACTGCTTTCATGTGTGTGTTCCCAGCAGGCCTCGGGGCAGGTGAGCTGAAGTCTCCACATGCAACCAATGTCCACTGTCACCCTGCACATATAACTCTTTCAGTTTCACACAGTATGTCCTGTTCCCCCACATTTTCATGTGTTTCAAAACACTGTGTTACATAAGCAGGAATAGTTCTTAGATATTGACATGCTTGTTGTCTATTAAGATCACTGAGAGTTGTCTTATAATGAGCTACGTAAGGTACCAACACATTTTAATTTAGACACTTTATTTCAATATAAAACCCAAATGCAAAACATGTTTACAAAAGCCTAAAAGCCTAATGAGGAAACATACTTTAAGACTAATGATTGTTATGCTGTTGCAATACCAGCTGTCTTCACTAAACTTAAAGTTGCTTTGACGATTATCTTTGATCATCAACATCTCCTGAATTTAAACTCTCACAGGAATAAAAGCCCAAAGTTATCCTAGACAAAAAAAGACTTCATATCTCACATTATAAAGAACACATCGTGCATCAGGAAGACCAGTTATGATATTTTCTATTATTAGATTCACAGTTGATCACAATACTTTAGGTTTCTGAATGTATAACAATAAAGCCTTTTGTAATGTATTTTCTGATCATGTGTGAAAATATGTTAGATGAATATTCATAGGAATACATTTCACTAAACTAAGGTTTAAGGGGGCATAAGGAGGATTCATTAAAATGTCATGCCTTTAATTATTACTATGATCTCAGCATTTCATGACTGTAATAATGCGTGAAATATCGTAGTATATGTAGGATAAAATACATTCTTTCAAGTTGGAAAGAATCCACACAAATGAAAAGTGAACAAAGCAAGAAAGCATAATGCTCTACTGCCCTTAATTGGAAAACAAGCCAGCATAATGAGTGTTCTTCCTCTGTGGAGCTCCATTTTGAAGTCAGGTTAAATGGTAAAAAACAAAACCATTAAATATATGGCCTGCAACTTCCTTAGTAATGACAAAAACTTTGTGAAAACAAAGTGAATCAGGGATGAAAACAACTTCAGTTTAATATAGTAGAGTCAAGAAGGAATGTTATTAAGGCCCATATAGCACGTTTAGAGAGAAGAAAGTACTTTGCTGCCTCAACAAAAAATACAGAACAGAAACAGAGTAAAAAGAAAAACCTTAAAATAATTCACGTTTAAAAAAATCTCCACAGGAAGGTGTAGAAGTCTGAATGCATTTTTAGATATCCTAGGTATGTCCTGATCATTTCTCCTGCTGTTCTATTAACTTCCCCCTCTCTGTCCGGTGTGTTGTGTCTGAGTGATGCGGCAGAAAACGGGTCGGGACAAAGCCGGTTAACCAGCAGGGAGACGGGAGGGGGGGGCCAGGGAGAGAGAGATAGGAGCCTGGGGCCCGCTGGTGCCGGGGTCGTGGGATCAGAGCAGGTTGTGGAGGTGTGGGAGTGTCTGCTCGGCCCTCTGACCTTTGTCACTGAGGATTCCTCTAATCCTGTCCTCAAAGAGCATACGGACATAATGGAGAGCCATGAATGGAATTAAATGGTGACCATTAGAAGGATCTGTGTCGCTATTCTTCCTGTTTGTTTAGCCCTGGTCAGCCTCACGTTTTCAGAGTAATCAGGCGTGTGATGGAGGGACGGCTGGAGACTCCTGAAGAGGCCTGGTGAGAGCACCACAGGACAACAGTTTATTTGAGATGGATATCCACCTAAATTTAAAGAAAGACGCGACACAAGAAGGCAGAAGAGGGATAGGAGGGGGGGGAGGTCATTTGTAAATCCACTTCAGATTATTTGAGTCTCGACCAGAGTTCACATGTGTTTCTCACAGGAGGAGGTAAAGAAGCGCTTACCAATGCCTTCTGGATGATATGGGTACCACTGCAAAACAACAAGGCATCATGAATAGTCTATTACACCGGTGTCATGCAAATAAAACTCTTCCTAATTTATGGCGAAGAACTGACTTTGAATTTTCTGCATACACAGTTTAAAAGGACGACCTCTTGTGATTTTATATAAAGGTAACGGAGGTAAACTGTAAAATGAAGAAGGATCGTTTTAAGGAAAAAGTGTAATAATGTTCGTTTGCTCTATGGGTACAATGAGTTGTCCTTTGTTGTCTCTCTCTCTTTAGTTTGAGTGAGAATTAGAACAAAACCTAAAAAAGGCACCCTTATATAGTGTTGAAATCAATGACTAAATTTATTAAATAACATTTGGGTTGCCATGTCTGAAAGCCTCTCTGCTGGCTTACTTATTCAATTAATAAAATGTAAACTCTACATTTCTAAAAGTTGTGAGAAAGGACATTTACAATCTACTCTGTGTTTCATATTTATTGACTGGGTAAGACGTTATTGTCATTTCCAGACCATTTGAGGTCTAATGTAGCAGTTTAAGAAACTAGTGTTTTACAAAGTGGGGGTCCGGACCCCCCGGGGGATTGCCAGGGGGCGCAAGGAGGGTCCCTGTAACATGAAATAAAAAATAACTAACAAAATCATTTGGGAAATTGCTTTTTACAATATTTTGAGATGTTATTAGATATCAAAGTATGTTGTACTATTAATTGTTGTAAAAAAAAAAGTCAAAAATTACAAAAAAATGTTTTAATGAAATGAATGAATAGCAAGATTATGAATTGTAGATAAAAATAAGGAAATATATTAAGAAGTGAAATGTCTGATTTTTTACATTTGCTATTGTAATATACAGGAAAGATTAAGTAATTTTAAAGGAATTTGGAGGGGGGGTCTACACTATGAGGCTAGTTATGTAAAAAGAAAGTCAAAGGAAAAACAAGGTGATTCGTATTATCCCAACCTGGCAACCAATATTAATCAAATCAATGGATTTACACTGATCTTTAAAGTACTTGAAATTGATGAAGTATTTATTGACAATGTTTTATCATGGTTTAAAAGTCTAGCACAATGTATGAGGAAACATAAACTAATAGAACATCAGTGTCATATTTCTGTTGTCTTCTGTATTTTGTCTGTCAAATGATTTTCGAGTCTGTTCCCCTCCACATGCAGCAGAGTGAAGGTCAGGGGTTCAACTCAAAAAAAAAAGATGATACAAATGCATCTGCAATTTTTTTACATGTTGGTTAATAGCAACATTAAGGACCTGCTCCTGTGACTTTCCTTATAGTATAAATGCCTATGTGTTACTCATATAGAGGGCTCCAGACACATAATAATTAACAATGTAGCACCTTAACAGCAACCATCTGTCCGGACACGTTTAAATGATATTCAAACTTTGCACTTTTATCACTAAAATAGAGAAAATGCATTCAGTAACTGATAATATAAAAGCATATCAAGGATTTCAACAGCTCCTCTTGTCTCTCTTCAAAACACTGTTGACTCGGCAATGAAATGACAGTTAAGAGACATTTTAGTGAGTAAATAAAAAACTGAATCAGTTATCTTGAGCTTATTTTCACATTATGTCACAGGAGTTTCCACACAATGTACGCTATTTATCATGCCTCTCACTCCACGACCTTATTTATCATCCAACTACCACGAACTACAGTTCACTTCCACTTAATGTGGAGTAGACCGACCCCTAGTGTCAGATAGAGATAACTGACGGGGGTCTCCTCTGATCTCGGTATATTAGTCCACTAAATGTAAAAGGCTTATTCATCAGAGCTGTTGCCTGAATAAACTAAATAAAAATGTGAGTAATTATATATGCAGGCCTACTAATCTGATCGACTGAATAAACTTATTGAAATGGTGGAGATGTGTAACCTCTCCTATCAGACGTAGCATATCCTACCATATAGGCTCTGAAAAACAGATGTCAATGGATATAAGATAAAAATGGTTAATTTCACTCAATATGAAATAAAAGCCTGCCATCTGTTTAAAGAAACTCTTGTAAAGAACCAAATGTTACTTAATAAATAAATACATAAACAGTGTTTGAGACTTTCCTTCGGGGGCTTATAGCTGCGTGTTGCTTCTTTCTACCAGCTGACGTTGACGGTGATGACAAACACTAAATGAATAAAGATCAAAGAAGGTGTTGGCAGCGTGTCATTACTCCGACTCCAGCCCTCCAAGGCCCCCGGCACTCTGCATACCTCTCCGGGCTGGGCAGAGCCGGGGAGGCCTCTGTGCTGTGGTGGGTGTGAGCTTTGAAATGTATTTAAGCACCGACTGATCACATATTGTGCATCTCCGATCAAGAGTTTTACTTTGAATCACTGACACCATGGCAAGCGTTGAGAAGGCACCTCTGGGCTCCATCGAGAACCCGATCAGGTTCATGGATCAGGATTTTCAGACCATCTTGGAAGAATGTCTGAAATCCGGAGAGCTGTTTGCTGATCCAACGTTTCCAGCTGAGCAGAAGTCCATCGGCATGCCAGAAGATGCGGATCCGAAGAAGGCGATCAAGTGGCTGCGACCCAAGGTAGACCAGGTCACGATGCGAATGTGGGTTCAGGGACAGGTTGTCATCCAGATGTTGTTAGGGGGAGCGACTTGATGATCGATTTGCATCTTTGCTCAAACATTTTAGCCAACATATTAATACATTTCAAAAGGATTAATAAATGGTGAAAGTATTCATTTGTCTACTCATAAAACAAAATAAACAAATAAATCCAACATTAGAATAGCTTCCTACATTGAAACAAAGTCTGATCTGCAGACTATCATTTAATTTTTGAGTTTCATAAAGGAGAGTTCATAACTAATGTAGCCTACATGTTAGAGCCTGAGTTGTTATTGACTTGTGCAGTTTAAGATAATGACATTGATATGAAATGTACCTTTAGGCACACAGAAACAGAAAAGGTGCTTTGTAATGTAGCTTACAGATCAGGTAGTGATTCTACAAGGTGTGGCTCAGGTCTGAAGAACTTTTTAACCTGGAGCATTTCTTCAGGTGGTGAAAAAAAACAAACATAAAAGAAACAAGCGAAAAGAGAATCATAGATGTTTATCATAACAAATCAGTAAGACAAGGCCTATTTAAGGTATTTTTAGAGCGATTCCTTAGACTGACACCAAACAAATAAATTCAGGTTCAGTCATCTAGCCTGATTATTAACTGATAAAAATATGTTTTACACATACATGAAGAGCAGATTTTGAATTCATTGAATACAAAAGATATTCAATGAATTCCTAACAGAGAAGTTTGTGTAGTAGAGCTGCAAATATACATTTTCAAAAATCATTGCAGATGCTGATTTAGTTTTTAATTAACACTCAGAAAAATGTCAGAAATTTTTCATAACATTTTCTTACATTTCTTACATTTCTTCTTCTTGTTCACCAACAGCCCGAAACTCCAATATATTTAATTTAGTGTTGTGGAAAACAAATCAAAAGACGGCAACAATTTCAGTTTTTCTTAATCCAGGACCAGATAAATGTTGACGATTTTGCATTAAAAAATGATTTTTGTTATTATTAGAAAAGGATGATACTGTCAGAATGACATCAGTCAATTCTTATTTTGATCTTCTTTTCTTTTCTAATAGTGCAGACTTATATTAGGTTTGGTCATATAAACATGAAGTTGGTGGTGTTATAGCATCATGTCCTGACATTGTCCTCCTCTCCGCTCTGAAGGAAATCAGTAATAACGCTGTGTTTGTGGAGGACACGATGGGGACCACAGACATCTGTCAGGGCCAACTGGGTGAGTTCATCAGCAAAGCATCAGCCTCCACAAACCTCAAATCAATGATGACTGAGGTTTGAACTACAATACGTCAGACTGAGATGCCGAAAATGTGCATTGCAGAACATTCACTCAACCACAACAAATTATAATATAACATTACGTAGTTCATATTCTATGAATACAAAAAAATAGTGACTTCAGCTCTTATGCACCACACGGCCACAGGGAGCCAACTTCAAACACTCAGCGAGGGGGAAAAGGAATGACTCTGTGTTCCCTAAACCCCAAATCAGCAGGGGGTCTGTTCCCAATCGTAGGCTTGTGTTTAACAGCCCACAGATCCTCCTCAAATCTCAGATCTTCAGTCTGTTTCCTATTTGTGATAAACTAAGAGATTGTTTTGTGCACGAAAGAAAACTTTCCTCCGTCATCTGGGACTCTTAAATATTGGTCCGTGCCACCAGCTGCGTGCTGATGTTTCAATAGCTTGAATCATTATAAACCTCCCCTTTCTTCTGTATCCCATGATGGGTTTTCAGTGATTTATATAGACTCCTAAAGTATCTGTTGCAGCAATAACAAGAGGAACATCCCAGAACAGATGTTTGTTGTTGGAGAGGAATGTAGCTAATGTGTTTGTGTGTGAGGGAGCAAGTCTAACCTGAAACGCATTGACAAAAACACAAACCATGAGACTTTCTACAGGGCTAAAAAAAAATTAAAAGATTGCATGTAAAATTTCACTGAAAGGCACAAAGAATCTTTTGTATTTTCACATGAGCTCAGTGTGTTTCTCTTGTTGATCAGGTAACTGTTGGCTGCTGGCGGCCCTCTCCTGTCTGACCATGCACCAGAAGCTCTTTGTGAAGGTGGTGCCACCGGGCCAGAGCCTGTCCAAGACGTACGCAGGGGTCTTCCATTTCAGGGTGAGAATAGTTACGACTAGTTGTACAAAACAAAACGTCTGACTCCCTCATCTTTGTACTTGGAAAAACAAATGCTGATCAGAGGATGCAAAATATACATTTGACATAAATCCAAATGTTTAGACAGAAATAGTTAAGTTGCAGTGAGGATTCAGAGCTCACTGACCGTGTAGCAGGAGGCACGGCTAGCACTCAAGACCCCCCTCATTTTAAGTGTGGCAGTCATTTTTTGTGTGATATAAATATATTTATATGACTTTTGAAATATAAGGATAATATCAGATGTTATAATGACAGCTGAAAAGAATTCCTAGGCAATTTAGCATAATGCTTTAGCGCTATAAAATTCAAGGATTCTTTTTTTTAGATGATAATTGATTTAGTAAAACCAGAGATACTTTTTATGCAAAATATATTCACAGTCTTTGTCTCAGACCAAGCAGTAACATATAGTATGTGGCTGGAAAAAAAAGCCAAGGCTTACAATCAGGAGCTTTAATAAAATTTCCAACTTAACAGCAGAATTGAACATGTTTAAACCTATTTTCAGGTGACAGGTGGGTGTTCCAAGCTCTCTGCTTTGTGTCATACAAGTTTATCAAAGTCGCTAAACTTGACACTGTGGGTATCCACCAAAAAGAGAAAAAGATTGTCTGCCATTAACAAATGTGTGTATCAAATGCTGAAATCAAGCTTTCGAATCTGTAATACATGCCTCTGACCTACATGTTGTTATGTATAATCAAAGGTGGAACCCAGGTGTCTCATTACCCTCAAAGCAACCCAACCACAGACATATTTGAGGGAGATTCTGTTTTGTTTAGCTGTTAGTGGCAAATCCTTGAACTGTTAGGCTCCAGCAGAGATGAGGACTAGGTTCTATTTGAAATGTATTTTTCCGTAACTGGTGCTGAGTCAAGTGACCCTACTTTTGGTTATTTATCTTTTATTTCCCTTTAAGATGGATTCTGCTTTGTTGCTTATGCTTTGTCTTAAAATGATTGATTTTTTACAAGCTGTACTTTTAAGACATTCATGATTCCAGGTGATATCTCAAGTGATGATGCTACATATGACACCTCGTGTGTGTTGTGTATGTGTAGGTGTACAGAATTTGAGACCTGAGTATAGAACAAGCATCGACGATCAAGTTTAATTTATATACAAACACTTTATGCCTTATATTTCTACTCACTCCTTTTATGTTATCAAAATGTTTTTTTTCATTTCTCTGATTTTGTCTATTAGTCCACACTTTGATCCTTTTCTTCTTTAACTTTGGAGCACAGCTCTCAAACAGGTTTAAACTCATCCTGCAGACAGTGCTGCACTGTGGTCTCGCACGTACAAAAAGAATAAACATAAAACCTCATCTTTATTACCTCATCAGATGCGGTGATTCTAATCTGGAGCATTCATCATTCACCGGCTCTGACCTGCATAGAACAATAAAAAATCCCTTTATTAGACGAATTAATCATTTCACATCAAGACAACAAACACTCCAGTTAGACATAGATCACTTTGACTTTTTTTTGCTCAGCAATTATTTTGCCCCAGAGCTCTAGACCCTCCGAGACTGTTAAGGAGAATGTGACATGATTTAACAAGCAGGACAGAAGGACTGGAAACTCATTTTGCCCTGTCAGGGTGATTGGAAAGCAGTCCAGACATGTAGGTAGTGACTACCCCTGGGAAACACACACACACACACACACACACACACACACACACACACACGCACACACATGCATACACACACAAAGCTGCAGGTATGAAGGCCAGTACAGGCCTGCTCTCGGCCTCTGTTGTGTACACACAGTTAGCAGTACAGTACAGCCCCAAAGTTATGACCAGTAAATGCTGTGGGCGGTGCTTTGATAAGTTTAGACAGAACAGAGAACAACATGTCTTTATTTAATTTCTCCACAGGGTTTTATTCTTAAGATCTGAACAACTGATAGTTTCATAATAGTTCTAGTTCTAGTTCTGTTTTTATTCAGTGTGGAACATTCCGTCTTTTGTTGATATTTTTGTTTTGATTTGTGCCTGAATATGTGAGAAAGAATAAGCTTCCAGATCTTTTATGGAATTAAAAGCAGAATCATCAAATTTTAGCATTTAAATGTCTTCAATCTGGCCCTTCTATCTTAGCATTTTAAACATTTTTAGAAGAGTTGCTTACCTTTCACATGTAGGATTCGGCCATAGGCAGCTAAAGTCTTTTCATTTATCTGGACAATGATTGATCAGTAGAAGCCCACAGCACTTTGGTCAGCTGCTGTTGTTTTTAAATGTGCTTCATAAATAAACTTGACTTGACATTTTTTAGTAATAAAAGACCATTTTAGATCATTCATGACTTATGACTTACTTACGTGGAGGAATTTTTAGTCAGTCAGTCAGTCCAGTAGCAGGTGAGGAGTGGAGCTGAGGCGGCCCTATAGTCTCCTGGTAAAAAGAAATAACTCGCCCAACTGTCAGTCAACACAACCCCGTCCCACTTGTTTAAATGCATTATCATGTTTATTAAAAGAGAAAACTACAGTAGAAGACGTGCATAGCAAACACATTTTAATTCCTTTATTGACAGGTGGGACAGTGTACTCTGTTTTTTCAAATCCAACCCTTTGAAAAAGTTTATATTTCTCAATAACCATCTTAAATGAAATGATATAGACCTTGACTTGTTGAGTTTGCAATTTGTATCTGCTGCCCCCTAGAGGCCATAAAGGAGTTTATTGCCCTAATTTTCCTTTAAAAAATGAAAGTCTTTCTTATTTACTTTTCTCCTGATTTAATTTTATCCATTTATTATCTCCCCTCTCTCTGTCTCTCTCTCTCACTGTGTGTAGTTCTGGCAGTATGGTGAGTGGGTGGAGGTGGTGGTGGATGACAGGCTGCCAGTACGAGAAGGCCGTCTGCTCTTCAGCTACTCTCACACCCGCAACGAGTACTGGAGCACCCTGGTGGAGAAGGCCTATGCCAAGTCAGTTGCCACTAGCAGCATATGTTTCTGGGTTGTAATGTCTGAGATCAACCCACTCTTTTCCTGTGTGTGTGTCTTTGTGCGACGCTACTGTGATTTCACAAATACATACAGCCACCAGAGAAAATGTTCTCACCTCTCATGTGTAGGCTGATTGGAAGCTACGGAAGCCTAAAGGGGGGCAACATTTCAGAGGGGATGGAGGATTTTACTGGAGGCATCGCATACTCGCGGGACGTGTCGTCTAGTACCCCTAAAGTCCTCTGGAGGTCTCTGACGGCCGCTCTGTCCAGAGGCAGCCTGCTCAGCTGCTTCATCGAGGTGCACACACTCTTCAGACTGATTACAGCTAGCTAAAGAAGATGAGATATAATGAAATTAGATTATTCTCTCTTTTTTAATTGCACAAGTTTAGAAGACCTTTTTCTCTTCACAGGCCAAAAACTACACTGAGGTTAGTAAAGTGACAGGAGACAGGCTGATAAAGGGTCACGCTTACGCTATCACCGACACAGAAAAGGCAAGTATCACAGCACAACACTCATCTACTGCTGTGTCTTTCACAAAGAGTTTTTTAGTGTCTCTTTATTACATCATGTTGTCTTTTCTCACACTACCTCTACACCACTTCATGTTATGCCTTGTCATTTCATCTAAACTATAAATAATGTATCACAATCTGAACATTTAATCATTTCCATCTCTGTTTATTTAATCTAATCTAACTAAAATGAAATGTGTATTTTAATTCATTGAGTGGAAGCACAGTCAGATCAAACACAAATAATCAGTTTGAATCAAATCAACCTGATTTATAATCATAATTTGACCTCATTTTAACCAAATAATCAAATCTCATATCCCTTGTTTTCAAATGTTATCATAATATCCTAATCTGACTTTATCTTATATTCCATCATTTCACCAAATAGCTCATCTTTGCATTACGTCTCAGTCTTTCCTCTTTTCAACTAATTTCTGAGCTGAAATGACATTTTGTAATTGTATATTTTGATTTATTAGTCATCTCATGGATAAATCTAAGATCTAAGAGTTTAATATTTTAAAGATGACTTTACTCTACAGTTTGTTCTCTTTTCATGTTTCAGGTGAATAACGGTTCAGATGAGGTTTTGTTGCTGAGGCTGAGGAACCCCTGGGGATTTGTTGAGTATAGTGGACCCTGGAGTGACAAGTGAGGACGTTTGAGCACGTTGTTGTTGTAGCTCACAAACTCATAGATTGAATCACACTCCACAGTGTTTTTATGTGTCTCTTTGTTGCTGCAGGGGTACAGAGTGGGACAATGTGAACAAATCTGATAAGGAAAGGATTGATCTGAAAAAAAAGGAAGATGGAGAGTTCTGGTATGTGGAGAAAAAAACAGCAGGAGAGAAGACTGTTGTACCTCCCTTTACTGAAATAAGAAATATAAAAATCACATTGTGAAGATATTCTACGAATAGTGAGAATCCTTTACTCACGCAATGAACTATGAGCACAGTCAGTAAAGTTTGAAAACTGTTCAGTTCAGTGTTCACCCTCAGTGTTTTGCTTTTATATTTAATGTTACTGGATTCAAACTGAAGCTGCAATAATTCATCTGTTACATTTGACCAATTTTTGTTTTTCGGTTTGAGCTAAATTCAAAACCTTAGACATTGTTGGGTAGTCAATCAATCAGTCAATCTTTATTTGTATAGCGCCAATTCGTAAAATTGTTATCTGGAAACAAAACTCTAAACATTCTAACATATTGTTTAAGATAAACAACATGAAAATTTAATCAATATACCCAGATTTGGATTTGCATGGTTTTCAGCTGTAACAGAATGTTATGATAAAAAGGTGAATAAAAAGGAGATAATTATGTGAGATGAATGGTGGAGCCAAAAGTATAGAATATTTGCCTCTTCAATGTATGAACAGATGTAAAAAGAAACACGGCATTTAGTATTTCCATTTAAAGGATGATACTTTAAATAGGAATTGAATTTGTATCTCAGAAAAGCACTAGTGGGTAAATCTCTCACGTGAATTCTCTTCTCTATCAGGATCAGTTCTGAGGATTTCTCCAAACTGTTTGACATCGTGGAGCTGTGCAGCGTGAATCCAGACAGTCTTGTAGAGGAAAAGACACCCAGCTCTCCATCTTCTCCTGAGTCCTCTTCCACCTGGACCATCAGCGAACATGAAGGATTCTGGATACCGGGAAGCTCTGCTGGTGGAAGCCGCAGATACAGAAGTGTGTTTGTGACCTTTTATTTACAAAAATACGCATTGGATATTTTCAAGAGATCATTTATGTGATCAAAACTTTGGCTTTGTCTCTCAGAGTCTTTCTGGAAGAATCCTCAGTTCGAGCTGGTTCTCACAGAGAATGACCAGCAAGGCGAGAAAGATGATGATGATGATGATGATGATGATGATGATGATGATGAGGAGGAAGAGATGACCCCCGAGGAGAAGAAGAGAGCAGAGAAAAAGAAGAAGAAAGCCAAACAGTGTACCGTGCTGGTGGAGCTGCTGCAGAAGAACCGCAGGCGGAAGAATAAAGTCCACTTCCTCTACGTTGCTTTCCACATCTTCAAGGTCACATCACTTTTTACACTTGATGTTGTTTTGGGCCTTCTGTTTATTTCACATCAACTCACACTTTGTTCTGTCTTTATTCTCATCTGCAGGTTCCCTCTGAGGTAATTATCTTGTGAACAATAGATAAATAATCTCTTATCTCAAATTATATCCCAAGAATCATGACAAGTCGATTACTAAGTGTTACATCCTTCCTCTCACAGCTCCAGGGTTCGTGTCTGACCAGCGACTTCTTCACCAAAAATTCCCCCGTGGGTCGCTCCAAGAAATATCAGGCTCAGAGGTAAAAGGCCATCATGAGAAGAAACTTTGCTTAAAACATTGTTTAATAGTTTGTTCACAAAAAAAAAAAAAAGAACATTTAGGGGCGCTGGTTGTCTGGTTAGCGCGCCCGCCCCATGAACGCAGGCTAAAGTCCTGTAAAGCGTGCAGCCCAGGTTCAAATCCAACGTGTGACTCCTTTTGTGCATGTCCCCACTCTCTCTCTCTCTCTCCCTGACTTCTGAATCTATCCATCGTCCCACATCTCTAATAAACAACCTAAAATAAAATCTAAAAAAAAAACCCACCTGAACATTTGGTTCTGGTACCTTTAGCAACTTAAAACCAGTTAACCATTTTGCAGTTTGTGTACTGTATAAAATATATTGTAAATATAATATAGCTTGGGTGTAAATGTTGAAAGTCATAAAGCTGAAAGCGTGTAGGTTTGACATTTTTTTAACTTTGTTTCTCAGAGGAGTGTGGAGAATGCTGCACCTGGACCCCGGTAACTACATCATCGTGGCCTCCACCTATAGACCAAACAAGTCCGGAGATTTCTTTATGCGCATTTTCTCCAAGACTGGAAACACTCTGGGGTAAGACTGAAGTGATTTATCTGTAAAATTAATAAACGTATTAAGACTGTAAAACAGCATGGAAATTAAGACTACTTAGCTGAATATAATTTGTTGGCCTTTTTTTTTTTTGTATGAACCACATTGTGTTATGTGTTGTATGTGTGCGTCATACATTCTGGTTAAATAATGTCCCACAACACTTCCTGAGGGCTCCACAGCTCCTGAATCACCTCCCGTCTCTCTCACTTTAAACAGCGGAGTCATGTCACCCACACTGCCCTCAGATTGGGTTCACAGCGTCATACTTTTGCATATTTCAAAAAACTCTAAAATCTTTCAACAAGAATAGACTCATAAAACCAACTTTAATAAGGGAAACGGTCATTGTTACAGCAGAGACCAGTGGAGTGCTCCAGAATATAAAAATGAATGCAGACAGAAAAAGCCCCCATGGTGTGTAGTTCTGAGGAACTCCCTAGTGGATAGTTCCTCTTCCAAAAGTCCCCAGAACAGTTTGGTCCAAAATCACCTATTGTTAATAAAGGTAATTATTAATTTGGCGCATATTGCTGTTAATCACACACTGTATCCCAAAAGTAGAAGTTTGACTTTCTATCGCTACTCTAGCAAAGAAAAGGATCCTTGCCAGTATACTTCTTTATGTGGAAGCTTGAGGGGATTAACACTTTTAATTTAAAGGACTAATGTTGACTTGTGTGATGTTTTCTTTGTGCTGCAGTACTCAGGACTTCACTTGCTCCTCTGGCTTCCTCCCTGTAAGTCCACATACATTTGAACACAAGGCACAGCTAGCCAAAAAAACACACAACAGTACGTTTATGTTTGTCTGGTATGTTTGTGCTGAACAGGTTATGGCCACTCCTGTCCTCCCGGAGGATCACGTGAGAGTTCAGCAGACTTTTGAAGAGGAAGCTGGCCCAGTAAGAACTTCCACATGTAGTACTACAAAGCTTCAGTGTATTCAAGTTCAAAGTTGTGTCCTCTGTTTGAAATATCTAAACCACTTTCTTCCGTCTTGCCTTGCAGGATGACAAAGTGAACGCCAAGGAGCTCATGAATCTGTTTAACTCAGGTTACAGTGTAACACTTTAAATTCTTTGAGCTGGATCTAAACATGACAAAAAGCAGTTTTTTTTTCCACTGTGCAATACCTCACATGGCCACTAGATGGGAGCAAAGCAGCTTCACTCTAAAGCAGGAACAGTGATGCCTCACAGGTCAGCAGTCTAGACAGAGGCTCATAGCTGCAGTCAGATAGAGTACAGTCAGCTGGTTGACTAAGAAAAGTGACTACACTTGTCCTCACCTTCACCTTTTCTCAGCTTAATCCAATTTAAAACCTTCATTTATTTCTCTGTATAATCTGTGCTTTTCTATCTTTCTATTGTGATCACAGTTTTGGAGAAAGATTACCATCTGCCTCTGGAGACATGCAGACAGCTGATCTTTGGAGAGGATGTATCCTTATTTTGTGCCCAACATATTCTGTAACACTACAATTTGATTGTTTGACTCTATGCGTTTGTCTGGATTAACAGGAGCAAATCGATGTTCACGAGTTCACATCTGATCCGTGATTGTCCCTTGCTATAGTTTTGAGCTTCATTTTGGGTTTGTTTCTCGCTGCTCAAGCGATTCCAAACCCTCAGTCCTCTGGGTTGAGTCATAACGTGCTGCCCTGCTGTTCACTTTCCTGCCTCAAAACTTTATCGCCTTGTCTTCTGTCCCGTGAGGTGACCTTAACTTCTTCCGGCAGACAAAAGGGCGCCCTAGTCTCAACCGTAAACAAACAGAAACCCTGCTGTCCAATCTGCGCACTCTGCAGGTAAGGTCTGTGTGTGTGTGTGTGTGTGTGTGTGTGTGTGTGTGTGTGTGTGTGTGTGTGTGTGTGTGTGTGTGTGTGTGTGATTTTTATTCACTCTGCTGCTTCTATCTTCTTCAGTCCATCTTCTTCCAGTATGACGAGGACTCCTCCGGCACTATGAGCCCCTTTGAACTAAGCACAGCGTTGGAAGCTATTGGTATGAGTGCACACACACACACACCTGAGTCTACTGTATATTGGCACACAGATGGTGTGGCTTCACACCTTCCTCCTCTCCTCTGTGTCACAGGGATGAAGTGTGATGGTCAAGTGGCTCATCTGCTGTCTGCACGCTTCGCATCTGGAGAGCTTCACATGCCCTTCCATGGCTTTGTGTCCTGTGTCACAAGACTGCGCAAGCTTTTTGGTAACACACACACACACAATATTGTATCATTATTAAATCAGTACTAGACATAGAAAAGCTTAGAGACAATCTTTTACCAGTTGGCCCAGATATCGTAAAAATGACATATGTGCACAGGATGCTGCATGTATGTCATCTGGAGAGCATTAGACAGTTGTGAGTTCAAGTTGTTTTTCAACTGTGATGCTTACTTATACAGTCATTATAGCTACTATAAACATGAGCTATGTTTGGAAAACTGCTGTGGTTGAATATGTGAGGAATCATGTGACAGATGCAACTTAGATCTTCAAATCGTCAATGAAATTTCTTCTACTTTTGGACAAGTTTCAACATCTTCTCTACAGTGTTCCTAGACGTCTTTTCAACAGAAAAGTGCTCACTGGGACATTTTAGAGTTAATATAGTACTTATTGCTCCATTACAGTCATGTGACAAATGTAATTACTGTTTTCGTTTCAAATACATATTTTTAATTCTACTAGAAACATGACAACCTGACAAGAATTAAATCATTGGATGCTTAACTTTTTTCAGATTTTTGCAACACAATCCCCCTGAGTTTTATTTGTATTTGAACTCATCAATAACCTCTCATTACCTCTCCTCCTCAGCTCTGTTTGAGTCAGAGAGTAGTCAAGAGGTCAAAAGACAGAGGCATTAACTCTGTGAGTATCAGGTCATATTTAATCATAATATATGATCTATATTTGTATATCTTATATGCTCCTACTGACCTGGATCTGTTTTTTTCTGCTTGCCTGTTCCCTTCACAGTGGCTGCTTCAGTTCCTGATATTGTGAAGATGCTTTATGAAGAGGGTCATCATTTAAAAAAAAAAAAAAAAACCCAGCTAATCCACAGTCTGCTGTTCCTTCTGAAACATAAACAATACATATAAACATATACATCTTTTACATCCGTTCACCCATATGTGCCTTATTCTAAAGGAACAGCTGTGGATTTCCTCTGCTATCTATCCCTTAGTCCTGATTGTAGGCTCCATATAAATAAAAGGTTCAAGGTCTAACATACAACACAGGAACACACAGTTATATGAAACAAGCACCTTCTCCATCCAGGCTTCCCATACAGTTTGGTTTCGTTAGTTTTTTGGAAGGGACAGTGTATATTAATAAATAAACATGCAAACATGACAGAATCAGCCAAAAGGATTTTGTTCTGTAGTCCACGGCCAAGGTTTTCACAGGGAACACAAAAGCAGGGCACACGGTTTAAAGAGACAGAACACACAGTTAAGGGAGAAACTATGAGGCAAGTGTATTTATAGAGGATTTTTAACAAATCTACATTTAAAAAGTGAAATAAGATTTTTTTTTTTCAAAGCGCTATAAAAGAAATATGGGCCATTAATCAGAGCAGTGTATATTAAATTAACACTTAACAAAAAGATGAATGAAAACAATTATTAAATATTCATGTTTGAGGATGCAGAACAGCCCTTTAATTGTTTTCTTATACTTCAATATTCCTCGACAGTGTACTTAGGTAGATATTGTGATTACAGATGATTGTTGAAACTTGGTTCTCATTGTCTTTTCAAATCTTTTCCAACATGAAAACTGTTTGTAAACCCAAATAAAATTCACCTTTTAATCATTTCTTTCTTGAGTTTCTCTTCTCTTCGTTGTGCAGTGCTGAAAAGTGAAATCATGAATGAAATGGTCCACATAACTGTTGTTACACAACTGAGAAAAAAAATATATATCTCTGCATCCCCAACACTTTAGTCATCTATGCACACATGAACATACCCTGGGTAACATCTACACACACACTCACAGTCAGAACGAGTGCTGCCTGCCCCACTGAGGGTGTGAGGGTGATGTCTCAGCAGCGCTACACGCACCATCTCTATTCTTATCACACTGACGCCACGTACAGCGTCAACACACACTCGCCCCCTCCTCCACTACATTTTCTCTCTCTCTCTCTCTCTCTCCCTCCCTCCATCCTTACTCTTTCTACCCCCCCTTCTCTCTAGTAACTGTCTTATAAATTTGCATCCTCCACCTCCTCCTGTTACATGCTGACACACACACACACACACACACACACACACACACACACACACACACACACACACACACACACACACACACACACACACACACACACACACACACACACACACACACACACACACACACACACACACACACACACACACACACACACACACACACACACACACACACACACACACACACACACACACACACACACACACACACACACACACACACACACCAGTGAGGGAGCAAATGTCCTTTCTACACACGTTGCTATTAATAGCACCGTTGTTCACACACACCATTTCCTGTTCATAGTTAGATGAGTACACACAGGTTGTCCTCGGCAACAGTCCATCTGCGTTGTGATGGAGAGAGGGAAAGCGAGAGAGGCGAGGGCAAGGACATTCATTCATCTCAATGTCTGGCCTCTCCATCCACTCTTTTTTTTTTTTACTATTTTTGTATGTTTTCATAAATATTTCAGTCTGTCCAAACTCTGTGCTTCAACTTATTTGTGAGTCAGCTCAGCCGGAGGTCAAACAATGTGACATCTGTAGCTTGTAAAAATGATCTACAGGCATTCACTGTGGTCACTACTATGTTAACACTTTTTTTTTGCCTTCAAAGAACGACCATGCTTGCATCTCTGTACGTTTGTAATTTGTGCTTTGGTTTTAAACAACGCTGACATGTGCACAATGAAACTTGAACATGTTCCCAGTGTGCATGTCAGCATGCTAACCTTTGCTAAGATTAAACTGAAAACAAAGTACAAATGACACTGGATTTCATTGTCAATATTTTAGGGAAATAAAGTACTGATAATAATATTTCATTTGAACTTCCAAATTCTGGACATTATGTTGTGTAAAAGCTCACAAATCGAAAACAAAGTAGTCAAAAAGTTAAACTTAGTTTGCTTCATTATTTACAAAAGGTTTCAATGGCATTTTTCTTTATCAACACAACATTCTTGATGTCATATTGTAAAATGATTTTTTAAGAGTAAATCTTCAAATGAATTACGAATATATAAATGAAAACCAAAATGCTCCTTTTCACCAGTTTTAACCTGCAGGGCACACCTTTATCAGTGCCACCTGAATGTACAGAATATGGGAGGTGAGTGTGATCTCCAGATAAGTCAATAAGGTGAAAGGATTACAGGAGGAAATGTTAGGGCCAGTGAGCTTCAATCTTTTAGGATAATGAATGTTGGCTCAAAATTAAAATCAGAATTATTGTTATACGTTCAACTGTTCTTCAGATATTTAGGTCTGAACAAAACAGACAGACAGCTAAAGCATTTGATCTAAGCCTGAATCTCAACAACTACATTCATAATAAAAAGCTTAAAATCAATTTTGAAATAAACTTAAGGAATAACAACGATATTGCCATAATAAGTCAAATTTCAAAGCTGATTATTGATAGGTTTTCTCTCTCTGAGAAGCTTTTTTTATTTATTGTATCTAAAACTGTTTAATGTATTGTAATGTAATTGTCATGTATTGTTTTAATGCTGACTGACAAAAGAAACCCTTTAAAGTAAAAACAGGTCTCCACAAACTGCTCTTCATGAATTATATGTATCCAGGTTTGATCAAATGTTTTTGTCTTTGTACAGTATTCACCTACATTAACAGGGAACGATCGTCTCTCCCCTGCAGCTGGATGGATTAATGATTTATACATAACTTATAGTGTGGGAGCACAAGAAAAAAAAGATCTGGTTGGTCATGTTTGGACATGTAAAGGCAGCTCTCGATTAAAGCTCCTCTGTGAGTTTAGTGTTGAAAAACTGTGTGGATCAAAAATAGGAAGAAAAAAGCAGCAACAATGCTTGTATACACATACAGGCCGTTCCTGTTTGATAAAGCAAAATCAAATTAGTGATCTGTTATTCAATTTGTTTATCCATATCCTGATTTTGTGCACAGTTAAATATTCTTTCTGGTGTAAATGTACTATTTCATAGACTCTCCCCGCATTGCTGTGCACCAAACACTGTAAATAAAAGCATGCCTTGTATTAACACCTGTCCCAAATGAAGACAGGGTCATTTCATCGACTGAAGTAAATAAAAGCCTGGGCTGTTAATAAAGGTTTTACAGTAATATCAGCATGTATAAGTACATTTAAGTGTTTAATACTGTCCTATATATTCACATAACTTTTGTTGTGAGGAAGTTATTATTATCGTTACTAGTCATCGTTACTTCAACTATGCCATATTAACAGATTTAAATACATGTTTTAAATATCAAAACAACTGGCACAATAACATCAGAGTTTAATTTATGTTTTTTGATATAATGTAGTTTTACCAGACTGAGGGTGTCTCATTCAAAGGGTGTTATCACTGTTATCTCCTCATGTGGTCCTCATAAATATAGAACTATAACAACACTCTTTCAACAGAGGAGCTCCCTCTCATCAGAGGAGAGAGAAACAGTTTGAGGCTGATCTCCAGGATCTCACTGTAAACTGTCCCCTCCCTCACAGAGAGACTATTTATTTGATATTTTCCTCTCTCTGTTGATTCGTTTCTCTCCACAGCGACTAGACTCATCCTTCCACCTGCTCTTCATCTCCCCACCTCACCCCCTCCCGTCCCCAGCTGTCCTGTGGGATGAGATGATGCTCTGACATGCTTGGCGTCTGTTCTTGGAGGGGCTGGTATTTTTGTGCCACAGCGGCGGGGGCAGGGACAGGAATAGTGGCGGAGTTGTAGTGTGTAGTGTGGGAGGGCCGGGATCGCTTTGAGAACTGCAAGATTTTTGAGCCGGTGTATAGACAGTAAGGGAGACCAGGGAGGATTGCGTAAGTTGGCTCCCTGGCTGCAAATTTAGCCTGGGCTCGCTCACGCAGAAATTTGATGAGCAGTGCAATCTCAGTCGTCAAAGCTGGAGTATTTAAAGACGTGTGTGTGTGTCGGCCCTGGGACGTAGGGTGTATTTATCCTGCGTGTTTATTCACAAGTCGTGAAGGTTGATATAATGAGAAGAGAAGAGCAACATGTACATCCACACTCTTCCTTCTGTTCCTCCTCCTGTTGTTGCTGCATGTTTCCTAAATGGCAAAGTGTTATTGACGGTGATAAGCAGGTGATTTATAGATGATGACATCTCACTGACACTAAGTCCAATTTTATAACATAAATTAACATAGACTGAAACTATGCACTGTAAATCAGGATTGGGCTCAAATTTTTACAATTCTATTGATCTATTAGTGATTTTTCTCAGGGCCTTGCATACTGATTAGCATCTCTGTAATTGCACCAGTATTCTCCAGAAGGCTGATTCTAACTGTTGTCTATTCACCACATGCTGAATTAGCCAATAAAGCATCTGAGAAATGCTATATATGCATAAAGATGTTAGGAATACGTTGATGGAGGAGATCATGAAGAGGTCTTGAAAGAAAAGATGAAATTCATAAATAAATAAAAACCTTCCATTGAACTTCTTTGAAAACATTCAGATGCAATTGAAACTTCACTTTAACAGTTGTTGAACATAGCTGACTTTAGGCAAGATCCCACAGTGTATGTTCGGTATTGATAGGAACATTTTGAATGTGCGTCACATTTCATTCAGTTTGATCTCAGATTCCTTTATACAAC